ATAACAAAACAAAACCAAGTGTAGATTGTTGGATTTATAAAAGCGATGTGTGTGTTTACATAGTGAAGTTGTGTATCACATTCGTGTTGATTTTGTCATTTCACGGGTGGGGAGGTGGGGTGTTGTAACCAGGTCAGATCCTATTTTAAGGTATATATTGTTTAAGACATTTATGTGATTCACTTTTAAAACATTTAGTTCCCTTTATGAATTTAGATAAAGCTAGAAGAAAACGTAATTCCTCTGAATTGTGTAATGTTGTATTTGTGCAACACATTTCGAACAATCTGATCCATCACACACGGACTTGTCATATGAATATATGTGTGAAATTAATAAGGAATTAAGATGGCGAGGAAATAGACAAGCTAAGTCAAGTTAAAAGGACATATTAAAGGTCAAAATAACAATGAAGACCACTAAACTATATAACAGAGGCAATAATACATCTACTCTAGCTTGTATTAAAACAAAGTTTAATAGGGAAGGTTTAGTGTGATGACGAATTGTTCAGGTAGTTTAAACTTTCTAATTGCTTGCCCTATGTTCCTCTAGGAACTAAAGGATACAATAATAATAATATAATAATTGCTAGCCAGGACTTCCACAAACTTCAGGATACGCCCTAAATACGTTTTATAGATAGGTTTTAAAGATGTGTAAACATCAATTTTATTTCTTGTCTTTATAATATGTTTCACAATAGAGGAGCTAGGTCGTCTCTTCTTAGCATTATTCTCCTAATTCACTTTTTAAAAAGGCGGATTTTTTTTGATGCAGTTGTGTTCTCTGAGCTGGATGGTTAATTTGCTAAGCTTTCATCGCCCTACTAGTCAATATCTTCAGCGCATGCTTCTATTTGAAGTGAGTTTTCAGATTTCTCCACGAGTTTATTAATCATTCCTCCTGGTGACCTTGGACGTGACTGGTTGTTGCTGTGTGTTTTCACACCTTCTAGGCTACGTGTATTGGAACTGATTGTTTACTTGACTTGAACTTTGACCCTTTGTGTGCGTGATTTCATTCTTATCCTTTGATAAATTTTGTCTATCTCGAAGTGTCTATTGATTGATGATTCACTGGAATACCAGGTAGCCTTCTAAAAATTCTGTAGCATTCTTGTTGTTTCCTCTGTCTAATATTTGAACGTTGGTTGTCCCAGTTTAATTGATGTCCGTGGTTGTCTGTACGTAGCGATATGAGAGAGTGGATATTAGCATGTGTTTTGATGGCTAGTTTATCATCATAGATACGAAGACGAAGGGGACGTCCACTTTGGCCAATGTAGTATTTTTCTTAGTTGTTACAATTTATTTTGTAGATGATGTTGGTTTTATATTCTTTCGTTGTTGAGTCTTTTGGTTGACATAGGGCCAACTGAGTGAAGTGATTTTGTTGGTTTGTGTGCGACTTCAACCCCTTGAGGTTTGAAGAGTCGTGTAGTGATTTCTGAGATATACTTTATATATGATATGGTGATTTTCTTTGTGCTTTCCTTGGGTGCTTTTGGTTTGATAGGTTGGCTTGGGGGTATTTATTTATTTTTATTTATTTTTTTTTTTTGATTACAGCTTGATTTCACACTGTATTTTCGGTACAAGTATGGAATTTTCAGCATGGATATCGGTAGCCGAAATTTTGCAAACCGACCATAGATATCAGGTGTGCGTCAGTGGCAGGGGATCGAACCTCGGACCATGTGCATGGTCGGCGAGAGTCCTAACCACTGTGCCACCGACGCACAGTGTCTTTTAATGAAATTCCGTGGATATCCATTCTTTTGGAAGACGTCCATGAGATATCTTTCTTCAATTTTCCTTAAGGTGGGAGTGCTGCAATGAGTCGTGGCTGGCTCTCATGAATAGTCTTTGTATACAGTTCCTTTTGTGTGTGTGTGTGTTAAAAACAAACTGAAATTCTGTCTCGGTTATTTCAATGTTTTTGTGTAGGCTACAGTGTCAACCACTTTTTTGATATAAACACACCTAATAGTAAATTAAAACCGAGTATCATTTTACAAAAACGAAACGGAAAGCGCACGCCAAACCGTCTTATAATGTGAAAGGTGATATATATATATATATATATATATATATATATATATATATATATATATATATATATATATTGTCTGAGTCATATTCAGGTAGATGTGGTTAGTAGGGGGTAATAGACGAATGTACAAAGACAGTCTAATATTTTCTGGGGGCGGATATTAAAAGAAATTTTGGCGATCAGTCAATTGTTAGTCTACAATTATGCATTTTATATTTAAAGGATAATTTTGGAATTTATTAATTGTAATTATTGTGTTCCCCTCTGGGTTTCAAGTGGAACTTTCTGTTCTCTTCGTCAGCTGATTCCACGATTGCCACTCATATACTGTCATCTGCTCCTCACACGATCAACTCCGTGTCACGCTCGCGGCCCAACTACCCCACTCATCTTAATATATGTATGGTAGTAATTAATTCCATATTAGTTTGTTTATTAGATGTATCACACAGTGAGTGAAACAGTATTATTTACTGGATGACAACGTTTCGAACAAAATTTATTGTTCATTATCATATCAATTGTAATCACACGACTTTGAAACTTGAGTTTTATAGTCTTCTTTGTCTTCTATTAATCGTCGTTAGGGTAGTGGAATTCTCCAGATGTCGATGTGGACAGGTGTTGAATCATTCCTATTACATGTATTTGCAGTTGATTCGATAAACAAAGCTTCTGGAATCAATCTCTCTCTCCATTCTGTCACATTAGATTTTAACACTGTCATCTAATCCCATTCTATTGTATGGTTGTGTATGACTGCATGTAATGCCATAGCTGAACTATTCTCTAGATTTCTTATCTTATTTAGGTCAACCATCTAGATGTTGTGGCTAGGTTTTTATGTTCGGATAGTTTGACTCAATGCGTCTGTTTTACTATTTTGACCTATGTATTTGACCTGACAATCACTGGAGGCAGGGTATTAGATAAACTAAATTGTTTTGTTATACTGGCTCCACAGAATTGATTCTTTAACCGACAAAGCTTGTTTCTAATTGAGTTTGTGGATTTGAATGCTACTTTTATTCCCAAGTTCATGTAGTGAATTTAGTTCATTCTCTATCGTGTCATGCCAAGAGATTTTTCTAATCCTTAAACATATTTTGCGTACTTATTTTGCTCTTTCGCATCAATGGATGAAGCTCTTGTAGTTGATAGGCTGTCCAATCCATGTTAGCTTGCGATATATTAATCTTTGAATCGTTCACAGTCTTGTCTTCTGGTAAGTAGTGCATCCACGGATGGAAATGAGAGGTTTGATTCACTTTCGTGGGTGTGCCGCGTTGAAGGTTTTGAGAAGACAGTGTTGTAAATTAGGTTTTTCATCACAAATTATATAAGCATACCATCTACACATCTCTCTTATGTAGGTGAAGTTCGCTGATCAAAAGGATAGAGTCTTCGACGCTCGCCTTGAAGCAGTCAGCTAGGAGGAGTGGATTGAGAGTAGACTTCGATATCTACATAATCTTTCTGTACACAGAATGGTACACTAAGTTTCAATTGGATATTTAAACGTGCATTTGAGTGAGAAGTAGTTCCTTCAGGTAGTTGGGCGAAGTTAAACTTTCGACACCACTAACTACCAATCAGTGAATTATCCAATGAGATTCTTTTACGATGTCGAATTATCCAATGAGGTTCACGAACGTAGTCCAATGTTGTATAGCGCTTGATTTATTTCTAATGCGTGACCTTACAAAGCTATTGTTGCAATTCGAGGAGGTTAGCGTTTTCCAGTATTCCCTGGATTTGAGTTGCGCCGGAAAGAGCGAATTTGTTTGTGTGGTGGCATCACGACTTTAAAAAGCTATACCAAATCAACTGATGGGTTTGTTCATCGTTGTGCTATATGTTTGAAGCCTACTAACGCTAGAGAGAGTAAGCTGATAATTTTAATATTTCGTAGGAACTTTTTTCGCTAGGTCGCTTCTCTCCCTAAGGATAGCAGATAGAAAAGCAACTACTCTTATACCTATTATTACCAGACTTGTTAAGCGGGGGTCAATTATACACACCGACGAGTGGAAAGGCTACAATTCACTGTCATCTCTGGGATGTATTCATCACAGAGTCAACCATTCAAGTGATTTTGTGGATCCCGTTACGAGGACACATACAAATTCTATTGAAGGATTTTGGGGCAGGTTGAAAAATAGGATAAGGGCTTTAAGTGGATCTCAAAAGGATCTCATTTATGGTCATTTGGATGAATATATGTACAGGATGTGGTGTAACTTCTCCATTGACAGTCCCATGCTAAACTGGGAGATGTTTTTCTCACATGTTCGAGAAAGATATCCCATGTAACTTTTTTATTCTCTATTTTATGCTTTTTTTCTATAAATATACATTTTCATTCATCATATATGCCTCTTTAATGTGATTGGTCCGTTCAAAGTCGTTTGCTGATTGGTTGTTAGTGGTGTCGAAAGTTTAACTTTGCCGGTAGTTGATAAGAAGAAGAAGAACCTGTAGATTGTTGGTTTCGTTTTTGATCACAGATGAAGCCCCAGTGGGTGCGTACTGATGGAGAGTTCCTAACTAGGGCGAAACAGCTTTCTAGTACTCAATGGTCCTCTAGCGATATCAGGCCATCATGAAATCCTGTAACCAGTCAAATCCTTGCAAACCAACACTTGAAGCTAATGAATGTTGTCTGTATTTTGTCCTAGTGGCCAAATTGTCGACGAGTTCGCCTCACAATCCGAAGGTTTTTGTTTCTATCCGTATCGGTGGAGTGATGGCTGCCTACTGAGGAGGTGTCACAAACTAGGATGAAGTGGTTGTCCAATACTACTTGGGTTTCAGCGATGTTTTTTCTAAATGTGACAATGCTTGCAATCATTTAAATCTCGGCAAACTAACCTTTTGAAAATTACTGTCTGTATATACGTATTGATTTTTTTCGATCTATTTTCTCCTTTTTAATCAAAAAATAGATTGGAATTGCAATGTCACCGTTAAGCAATAATTCCTATTCTTGGATTATCATCGTAATCCCCTGAATGATTATTTAGCGCGTGGTCTGTTCGTCAGTTTGAGCACCGACGATCCATTGCAATTTCATTTTACCAAAGAACCCTTAATTGAAGAGTATAGTATTGCTGCACAAGTATGGAAATTCACTTCTACGGATATGTGTGAATTAGCTCGTAATAGTGTGTTGATGAGCGGTTTCTCTCCTTTGGTAAGTTAACATTGTCATTGTAATTGCAATTGTTATCAATATTATTATCATTATTATTGGGTTTGACAGTATGTCTAATTTTGGGTCTGTCTGTCTGTTTTCGACATAGAACTTTCCACCCATGTGCAACAGTTCAAGTCGCCACACTTCCTCCACGTAGCACACAAACCAAGAGAAGAAAGTAGAAGAAATGCATAATAGAGATAGTAGACAGGGATATGAGACAAAGGAATAGTAATAACGAAGAACAATATAGTTCCATTGGAAATCATAAATCACAAAGAGTGGATGCATTTTCGCCAGCCATTGAGAACGATTTTGAGCCATATCATCGATGGTTTCCAGCCTCCATTAGTTTTTACTGTCTCGAGGGCCCCAACTAGTCAGAAGTCTACACCTTCCTACGTGGCTTAGACTAACTGTTGTAGATTTCATTGACTGATGCCATGTTTTGGTTTGACAGCCGCTTCCTCTTTTCCAGCCTGACCCTTTGTCAGCTAACATTGCCCATTGTCGAGGAAGGCAATGACTAGACATGCCTACGTGACACAAGTCCTAACCATCTCAGTCGACGTAATTTCACAGTCTCGTCGATTGATTTCCCCTCCCTCCTTACCAACTAGCACTGACTGAGGCCTAACCTCAATATTGCTCACTTATTATACCACTTCACACAGAAGATAGAAAGCAGGGACCTATGTTCGAAAAAGCTAGCCAAGGTTTTCATGTCTTTCAGTCTCAATGGCCAGGTCTCACATCTAGCCATAAAGGAGGACGGAGCGGACTGGTGCTGAGCAGTACACCCACCCTTTGGTCGATAGGCAACCGGATATCACGTCTACTAAGCCAGAGACGGCGTGAACTGGGATATGCGAAAGTAGACCTCTGTATCCGTGCTGAGATTTCGTCAGAGATCAACCCGTTGGGTTTTTTTTCAAATGACTTGATGACTTTAAAAGGCAAAATCTCTGTATTTGTAAACATCTTTTTTCTCTATTCCTTTGCGTTCTGAAGGGGAGCTTCGATTTGAGGTTTCAGCAGTGGCACTAGGGTTGCTAACTTTACACCCAACCTTTCCTTTTTTTCTGGCATAGTAACACTTAGGCGAGGTTGCTGACTGTGCTGTTGGTTTAGGATAGAATTCATTGGATCATCGATGCATATTTGTAGACCCTCTCTTTATTATTAAGATGACGCTACAACTTCCGTATTGGTGACATATGGAATTCGAGTGTGGAATGCACGCAACAAAAAGGTACAAAAATCTTCAAGTATTGGTTCTGTTCTGGGATTTAGTTAGTTTCCATGGAGGATTTCATCATGAGCTGACATCAGTTAGAGAACCTAGGTCCTGAGTTCGAACCCGGGTGGGTGCGTACCGCTGAAGAGTCCCAAACTAGGACGAAACAGCTGTCTAGTACTCCCAGCTGGTTTTCCAATGGTTCTTAACTGATATCAGCTCATGATGAAATCCTCCATGCAAACAAAAATATTCATCTGATATGTTTTAAACAGTGCGTCGGTGGCAGAGAGAGATAATGCTCCGTGGTTCAATCCCCAGCCATGGACACACTCTTTTACCTCGCTAAGCCGGTAATAAGACTGATAAAGAGGGAAGGTTGTGGGGCATGAGGCTTACAACCTCATCTCGTAAAATTAAACACCACTGCCACCGAAACTTCAAGCCTGTGTAGCTTGAAGGCGCCCTATTTTCCACTGGGAACGTAAAGGAATAAAAAAAAAAGACTTTAAACAGGCAGAATGAGTGAGGATTTCAAAGCCAGAATCGGAAAGGCAAATTACGCCTTCATTACTCGGCAACCACTTTGGAAGTCTTCTGCATTCAGCATAAAGGCACAAGATTCGAATTATCACCACACAAACAATGTTAAGTCACTCCTTCTATATATGGATGGGTTAAGAAGTCGATGCTCGTGTTACGGGAAACATTTCCAACATCCTGTTGCAGACTTTTTTCAACAACTAACTTCGCTCCATATTTTGAGTGGGAAACAACGACTGGGTCGTCACTAGGGTGACATGGAGGAGATCGTATGAGTTATAGGAGATGTGAGATGATGGGGAATCGTGGGACCAACTAAAGAGGATAGCAGAGAACAGAACAAAGTGGAGATGTCAGTTAGAGAACCATTAGAATACCGGAAGTACTGAACAGCTGTTTCGTCCTAGTTGGAGAATCTTCATCTGCACGCACCCACCCACCCATCTGATCCCCAGTGGCCTAATGGTCTACTAGCTTCCACCTTGTGACCAAAGGGTCTTGAGTTCGAGTCCCGATGAGAGTGTGTGTGACTGAAGAGTTCCAAACTAGGACAGAACAGTGTCCGTACTCCCAGTCGGCTTTCCAATGGTTCTGTAACTGATGTCAGCTCATGATGTGATTCTCCAAACAAATACTTGAAAAATATCTGGATTTATTTATTGATATATTTCTGTCATTGTTTCATTTCATTCTTCTAATTCTCCCTATAGATTAAATCTCATTGGCTTGGACCAAATTACACGCAAGAAGGTGTTATGGGCAATGATGTCACTCGAACTAATCTGCCTAATATTCGTGTTGCGTACAGATTTGAAACACTGACACAAGAATTACGCCTACTACTGAATTCTGTCCTGGCGAATCGTGCTAGTGGTTCTGTTTCACCGAATACTGCATCCATACACTCACCAAAGAAATTTATGCATCTCCAACACGTGGAGTTGGCACAGCAACAGCGGCAGCAGGAGTAGGAGGTGGAATTGCAGTTGTTGATCACCAATCAACAAATTAAAATCGTTCTTTATTATTTTTTTCGCCCGCAATCGATACCAAGAATATTCATTTGTCGAATTTCTCTTTCTTTCTCTCTCTCTCTCTTACTCTCGCTTTCTTCTGATTTATCCATCAAGTGAATTTTCTTTTATCAGAATTTTTAACAAATAAAATAAAGCTGTGTTGTGTACGCATGTTTCTTTGTTATACAGAAATGCCCCTAGAGAATAAATAAAAATCAATAAACATGACTGATAGTCATGAATAATCGATTAATCATTCAATCAGGTAGAGATGATCCACCCACCCACATACACACGCCTACACACTCACTCACTTACTGTCATGATTATTATTCATATTCTTAGTAATTTTATGCTCCTTTTCTGTGTCCTATATACGTTCCTCTATATTCCTTCATTGTTAGTTAGTCTTCTTCGATTCCTCCGCCACGTCCTCCTCTTCGTATATGTTCACATAATTGTAGATAAAGCCCGTTTTGGGGAAATTCAATATGTGTATCTCATTCCTTATCTCTGTCTCCCCCCCACACACACCTTTTTCCAGCTTGCTTTATTGATTGAGGGGGCGGGCGGCTAATTAACTTTGAGAGATATTTGACGGTTGTATAAGGCTATTACAGATGTTGATGAAGGGGGCCGGGGCTGGGGAACATTTTATCCCTTTCTCCCATCCTACCCCCAGAATTTGATTTGTGTGTATGTATGTTTGCTTGAGGCGTGAGTATGGATGTGTTGTGTGCATTCTGTGACAAAGACTTCAACTCACTTGTTTCTAAGGGGTGCGCATGATATGCACATTATGTGTGTGTGTGTAAGGTGTGTGGTTTTAGAAAATCTGTTTTTTCTCTACGTGTGTATCTATGTATGTATACATAAATATTTTTCTGATTATTTTCCCTCCGATTTGAATTAAAAAAATAAATAAATAATCGATCATGTTTTAAACGGGAGAAGTGTTTTATATTGTTTCATGTTTTGGTCTATAATTACAATGTCGATGATATTGTGTTTGTGGGGACGGGGGAGGGGTTAGGACTCTTCTTTCTTTTCGACGTTTGCGTTGTTTGTGGGTGCATTGTGTAGCATTGTACAACTGACGCTTTCCTTCCTTTGGGGTTGAATCTGGCGGTCATTATCCAGGGCCTTCGTTGCGTTGCTGACATCATGATAGCCACACCCTCGGTGTGTATGTGGTTGTCTTCTGGTAACCGGAGTAGATCAGATCACTGACTCTCCTGTTGAAATTTGGTGAGTTCATTCCCGTTCCATCTGCTTTCACATATTCCCAGTACTTGAATTCCGTATCTTTTCATCTAGTTTGCAATCTGGGTAGCTTTGCCAATCTCTCGCGAGGTGCGGACGTCCATGTGTCTCCACAAAGACTTTTTCTTTTGGCTCAAGGAGATTCACCTTGCTGAAGTATCTGTAGCAACTTTATTTACAGAGTGGGGTTGATAGCCTCACGCCTGAGAAGGCGGTTGTTACATTAAAATATAGTTTAGAGAGAAGCGACCTCGTGTGTAGAGCTCCCCTTAAAATCAGGAAAACAAGGAATAAAGCGATCAGAACAATACTAGAAAAAGGGAAATAATTCACAATACGAATGGCAACAAGCGACAACAACAGTAAAAAAAACCGTAGCAGTAGTATCACAGTTAGTTACAGTTAACAAAAATGATACCAAAATCATAGACTCACTGACTTGAGCCAACTTGAACATGTAAATCCATCAATATACAGTTATAGGTATTAATTAGTGTTAGACAGTCACAAAATGGCAAGCAGATAGTTATAGGTATTATCGGTCAACAAGACTATATCTACAATTCAGTGTTCGAAAGGCAATTAATTACAATAAGTTCCACAACTTTTTGGCAATAAACTCCACAGAAACAAGAGTTTTATGTGAGGAGGTGGAGGGGGTATCTAATCGACTTCTTAATAATATTTATAATAAACTTTCAAGAATAATTTCTCCTATGGGGTAATGAATTATACAAGTGAAGAAATGGATCAGGTGACCATGTTTTCGCAATGCATCCAGAAAAAGTTACCATGGTCAGGCAACACTCCGAAATTGCCGGCTGTGTCATGGACGACCTGGTACGGCTAAGTTGGGGTGGGATGAGGGTAGACTTCCTTCTCTCTCTCTCTCTAAATGTTGTAATGTGGCTGTACGCTCATAGCGCTCCTATCAGGTAGGAGTTATACAGAAGCGGTGGAAAAAAGAGCGAATGCAAACGTGTGGGATGGTGTGTGTGAACGTGTTTTCATGACTGGGGCCATGGGAATGTAGATCCTGACACTGCTTCACTTTTCTGTGGACCAGAAAGGTTGAGTATGTGTGTGTGTGTGTAAGTGGGGGGGGGGTCAGTCACTTAAGACAATCAACTACGGGAAGGGCGTTTGGGCAGTGTGTTTTCCAGCTCTCTGTCATAAACTATGAGATCCACAGTGTACCAAACTTGCGATTTGTTAAATAATAAATAAATTCCAGAGATTTGATATAAAATGGAGAAGATTTGTAGCCCAAATGGATCATTTTGACATGTATTTGTGTTCTCTGAGCTGCGAAGCTTTAAGCGCTTTACTAGGCAACACCTCCAGCGCATACTTCAATTCGATGAAGTGATCTTTTAGATTTCTTCACGTGTTTGTAAGTCATCTCTCCTGGTTACCTTCAACGATGTGATTGGTTGTGTGTTTTCACACCCTCTAGTCTACTTGTGTTGGCAATAATCAAAAGAAAGGATTTGGACAAAACTCATGTATTAACAGAGAAGAGGAATCCGAGGAAAAAAATTCCATTTTTGGACGTCTTAGTCAAGCGAACAACCACAGGAAAATTAGTAACTCAAGCGCACGTATACGCCAAGATTGTATGGCCTAGCTAAAGTGCATAAACGAGGGGTACCGTTAAGACCAATACTCGAGATGCGAAATTCACCCTACCATGCTCTATCTAGATGGTTAGTAAATATTCTCAAACCTTTGCATGAGAAGATAGTGAAATAGAGCGTCAAAGATGTATTTGAATTCGAAGACAAAATCAAAGATAGTAATATATCAAGGACAAAACCATGATATCTCGGAGCAAAACATCGTTATTAACAAATGTACCTCTAATAGAAACAGTTATCTAAATATGTGAGCAAGTGGATAACCAACCAGACGACAAACACTGGCATCCGTATTGAATCCTAGAAGAATCGTTATTAAGATGTACCATGAATGTAAACTTCAAATTTGACGGCACGTTTTACAGGCAAATGGATGGGGTGGCGATGGGCTATCCATTCTGGCTGATTTCTTTCTAAGTAAACTAGAAAATGGACCTTTGAACAACCTTATCAGTAACCTCCCATTTCATTGCCGATATATGAATGATGCCTTCATTATTTGTAGTAATGATTCGGATAGGAGTACAATAATTACTGAAATTCACATGCGAAGAGTAATCCCAAGACAGAATTGTCTGCCTTCCTGGATGTCCTACTTACAAGAAAACCAGATGACAGCATAAGGAAGGAATTTGCATAGAAAAAGTACTTGGACAGGACAATATACACTCATTTTCACAGTTTCGTTCCTATCAAGTACAAAAGAAATTTAGTGAAGATCCTCAGCCAGACTAGCTGGGAACTTCAAATTGTATCTACCAATTCAACTGCAACTGCGCTTGTGGTGGAGCGAATTATATTGGCTGTTGCTGTAGTAACTTGATTTTTCGTGTACTCTCGAGAACATCTCCCACTGGCTAAGTAAAGGTGTAGTTAAAATAATTAACAGTGCGATCTTGGACCCTCTGGTGCAAACCTGCCGGCCACAAAGCCAACCGGCCAGCGTGGAAGAATCCTTCTCTGTCATCATCTACCGGGTGCCTAGTTAATTGCCAAAATCATCGGAGCACCGTAGGCTCCAAACAACAGAAGCTATTGCAATCCGTCTCAAACAACCAGTGCTCTGTGTTCGTAATAAGCAAATCCAGTCAGCCCCTACTATTGTCCTGGCCTTCAGTAGAAACTATAAATTCATGAATTTGTAATATTATCTTTCCTAATTTGCCTTTCTGACATTCAGCTTATTTTATGTTGATGCTACTGAGCTGTATTCTATCAAATATTATTGATTCGATGTTATTTAAACAGCAACATTAATGTTGTTGTTAATAACACTAATTCATTCATTCACTATAATGTGTATATATAACTATAGAGCCTGATGATGAAGGGGTTATCGAAAAGAGTGCTTTTGTTCAGTATCCATTCTTTTGAAAACAATTTTATTATTATTATTATATCCTTTAATTTCTAGAGGAACATAGGGCTTCAGCTGCGCGTCTCCATTGCCTTCGGTTTTCTGCCAACTTTTTCACTCCGCTCCAAGTCTGCCCACATGCTTTCATCTCCTCCTCACATGACCTCCTCCAAGTCGCCTTTGGACAACCGACTCACCGCTTCCCTTTCGGGTTCCACTCGAGCCATGGCTTGTCTAGTGATGTCACTTGATGGTTTCCTCAGCGTATGGCCAATCCATCTCCATTTCTTTCTGCCTATTTGTTTCACAATCGGTTCCTGATTGGTTTGCTCATTGCCAGAGATCCCTATGTCTGATCTTTTCTGGCCATCTGATCTTGAGTATTGAACGAAGACAACTGTTAATGAAGGGCATTTTTAATCAGTTGAGAGAAAAATACCTATCATGCACGTGACGTAATACCGTATTTATGAATTTAAAGATTCAGTAGCAAGCAATGTTAGATAGGAATCGTGACTGGGTTTTTTTTATACGAAACATTCCAGATGTTTAAGCAAATTGGTGTTACTTCTGTAGGAGAAACAAATACAGCCGCTATGGCCTGCTGGGGAATGCATAAATTCTTTATGATTTTCACTTAATTTATCGAATATTCAGAGTATATTGTTACACTGATATGCAGATATGCTGACTCCATTATTGCAAAAGGTCTGAAAGGAGGGAAAGGTGCCTACTGACTAGAGGAAAGGTCAACTCGTGAAACTACCAAAGAAGGGCGACTTACGCCTCACTCTGCAAAAACTGGCGACGAATCATGCGCCTATCGACGCCCAGTAAAATCCTGAGTCGCATCATCCTGGAGAGATTAAAGGACGCACTGGATGCAGAACTCCGCTCCACTGGAACAAGCTGGATTCAGGAAAGGCAAATCATGTACTGACCAAATTGCAACTCTACGCATCATCATCATAGAACAAAGCATGGAATGGCGATCAAACCTCTACATCAACTTTATAGACTTTGAGAAGGCTTTTGACAGACAGCGTTGACCGCGAAGTGATGTGGAAACTACTCGAGTACTACGGCGTACCCCAAATGTTCATCAACCTTATTCAACAGCTGTACGATAACGGAACATGTCAAGTGATCCACAACAGAAAACTCAGTGAGGTGTTTCGAGTAAACATAGAAGTCAGACAAGGGTGCTTATTATCACCCACGATGATATTCCTAATTGTGGTGGACTGAGTGGATTATGCGTCAGACAGTCAGTGGGAAATGAGAAGACAGAGATATCCTGGACCGACAGACGTGAAGAACCTAGAAGACCTGGATTTCGTGCGTGGATGATTTATGTTTGATGTCACACAAAATCGAAGACTTACAAGAGAAAACCGACTGACAAAGTGGTCGAAGAAGCAGACAGTGAAGACTGGACTCCAGGTGAACATAGACGAGACGGAGGTTATGAAAATAATCAACCAACAACAACAACAGCAGCAGCAACATCCAGCGTCAATCAACATCAATGGGAGGGATTTGAAAGAGGTTACTTCATTCACTCACTGGTCTAGGGAGCATTGTCTCAACTACAAGCAGTCGGAATGGACGAGGATGTCAAATCGAGCGAGAATGGGGAAGGCGGAAAACGTACACATTCATTAACTTCAAACCAATCTGGAAA